CCGTCCCCCGGGGGGGCGCCGTCTCAGCCTCCCCCCATCGATTAATGCAGAAGCGGCTCGGGTGGAGAAGTTCCACGCCAAGCCAGCAGGCGACCTGAGGGCTCAGGGGGGCCTGGGGGGGGGGGATTCAGAAATTAGGCAGCCCTTACAGGACTTCCAGCACACCATATTAGTGGGGCCGACCCAGATCCTTCGATGCACACCAGCGGCTTCCCCTGACCAGCAACAGCACCCCCCCCCCACCCCAACTCCAACAGATATACCAAACCCCTCCCCGGGAGGTTCACCTAATGGACACAGTAACGACCAACACGTCAAGTCCTAGCGCTTTGACTTCCACTTCACAGACACCCTCGCTTTCCCATCCGCGCCCCCCCCAGCTCATCGGAAATGGACCTTTCCGGTCCTTTCTCCAAGCGCCGGGCGGCTCCTTGAGACATTCATCACATCGCAGAGGCAGAAAGGTGACGCTTCACCCGGCACCACACCCGGCTTCCTGCAGCCACACCCGAAAAGTAAACACACACGCACGGGCACAGAACCGCCGCCTCACCGGCGTGAAAGCCATGCTAATTCCGCAGATCTCGCAGCACGTTCGGCTACCTGCTTCCAAAGCCGTGCAAAGGTCACCCTTACAGGCAGCTAAGCTGCATAAACCCCGCGACGCGTCACACAGATTTAACAACATGCTAACTTTACTTACTGCTCATCTCCCAGCTACCACAAAATCTCACACTTTACACTTAATGAAAAGGCCGGGATTGTGCCGTCTAGATCGCCATCTTCCCCAGCATTCCCGTCCTTCCACATATGGCTGACACCTCTTCACATCCTCAACCCAAAAGGCATCCAGGCCGGGAAGATAACATACCACCACCGTGTCTGTGCCGGACGTTGGTCGTCCCTAACTCGGGCTCTTCAGCTTTTGGGATGGGGGGGGGGAAAAGGGCTCTCAGAACAGCAGGAAAGCACCCCTCGCTGTTAATAAAAACAGCGCGTCAGGACCCTGACGCCCAAACACCACGTCCAATTAAAGCCAGATGTTTAATAGGCTTTCAGTGACAAGGCGTCGGGTTTCTGCCCTCGGACGAAATGCTCCGATTAACAGAAGGGAGGCGCTGCTGCTTCAATACAGTTTCTGCAATTAAAAATGTTTTAACCCCCAAACTGTTTACTTCTCGCGTCTGAGGGCCCGGAGGTGCTGCGGACGCTGCGCAACATTCCCACGCGTGTCGCCGAGGAAACGTGCAGTGATTTTAATACGACTCATCACTCCTCAGCACACTTGCTCACTTTTCTGAGTTTCCCAGCCGACAGACTAATAAGCGTTATCAGGAATGGCCAAATGCTTTAAAAAAGAAGAAACATTTATATACATTATAAATAAAATAAACCTACACGCCATAGTCAGACAGTCAGAGTGATCGGTTACTCTAACACAAGGCGAAAGAAAATAAAACAGAACAAGCACACCCAAAGACACACACGCAACAAGCTCCCCTGCAGGTAAACACTTTTGAGGTGAACACACCCTGTGTTAGACAGGTTTTAATAAAAATGAAAGAAAACCACCTACGCTGGGGAACAGGCAGCGAGGACAGATAAGCTGGTACAAGTACTAGTAAATGAGCGCTAAGTAGCGAATGTGATCACTGCTCTACCCATTTTCCAACAGAAAACACCTGAGCCTGACCACACTCAGCCAGGTGAGCACACGGCATCCCAGGCACCCGACACCGTCCCCGTACCCCTGCCCCCCACCCCCCCTCAATTACCCCAGTACAAATGCAAAACAAGTGTACCATCACACTTAAACTTCATGTTCCTCATGAATAAATCATCCCTGTAGCCCCCCCCC